TACTTAGCTTCAAGGCGTTAAGACCTTCGAATAATAACTCTAATTTTTCACTACTAAGAAGATGTCCGCCGAAAACATCACGTACAAAAACGTCGTTTGAAAAAGCAAGCAAGGATAAAAACATTGCAATTCTAAAACATCATCGTCCAGAATAAAGCATTTCTGAAACGTCGTCGTAGAAAATATCGTGGTAAAAAATAAAGCACAAATCATCGCATGACTATAATATCACAGACATATATTTCTCAGGCTTTAAAAGTCGCAAATGTTTATTCGCATAATGAGTTATGAGCCCAAGAAGGCGCCAGGAGTATTTTTACCTCCATATGTGACATATTTCATTTTAACTAATGAATCAACCTTCAATCGATTAACTACACGGTATATGGGAAAATATTAATGACATTTTAAAACGACGAATAATATGAAACAAAGCAAGATTTCATTTTTATTAAAAGAATATCAGATTAACAAAGTGAAAGAAAATAACTCAGCAGTTTTAATATAGGTAATCTCATGTAGTTACTCATCTTTCCTTTCCTAATCATTTTTGGACAGTATTTTTTATGAAAAACTACCAATCCAGTTTTATAAGAATGTTTATGAAATGGTAACTTTTAATAGTTAATTATAGAAGTTTAAAGTTTTATTAACTGTTATATGTAGTATTAATGTTTTTAATAATTTTTAGTTTTTTAACGCTTAGGATTCCTTTTTGCTTTTCCTGCAAAAATTTATTAGTTAATTAAGAAATATGAAGTTTGGAGATAAAATTATTCCTCATTTCTTCTTGCACTCATAAATCATTATATAAATATCCATTTACGGCATTTAAATCCTGAAAAAACACATCGCCATGGGATGATCTGTTAGATGCTTTATTTATATCATCATATTTTCTACAAGGATGTTTTAAAAACTGAGATTTCTTTGAATTGCTTCATTTTCGAAGACGATATTTTAAAACTGTGATATTTTCCCCATGCTTTGGTCCTCCCACGATGTTTTTTACAACCATGTTATCGTCTTGCGTTATTTTCTCCTGTAACCATTATCCATCACTTGTTTATTCATTTCAATTGACAATCTTTTTCTATTTCTTCAACATTTTTGCAAGAGAAATTGTGTTTTATTTTTTCCTTTCCCACTATAAGCAAATGTTTAATCATTATCAACATTAGGAAGTTATGAGTGATGATAATTTGAAACTAAATAAAGATTCCACTACCTACGTTTATCGCGCAATTCGTTTTCTCATTACAAAATCATTCAGCTAACATACAGAAATGCCATGCCTAAATCTTCATAAAACATTGTTTCGATTATTATTTCCAAGAAAGCTGTGACTAGATGAGAGAATAGCAGTTTTTTTTATAAAACAGAGTGGCTTTATAAAATCTTGTTTCCAATCTCAGTCTTTTAAAATAGAAGCTAAATTTTTAGATAACCCCTTGCCCCGGAAGTACAACTTATTCTTCCCTTGTTTTTTTTTTCTACTTTTATTTGCGCTTAAACTGAAATAGTCCAAGTCTTTTGACATTCGCTTTTGGATTGGGATTATTTCTCTTTGATCAGATTTCCGTTCTACTTTCGTTTCAGATTACCCGTTCTTAAGTATATATATTTCTTGAATCCAGTTTCTTATTTTTAATGATCCCAAAAAGTCTAGACTTTTATGCTAGGATTAAGAATGTTTATCAATTTCTGAAAAGTTTTGAATTTGGGCACTGGTAAGTTTAGTAATATTTTTGAAATAGCTTTCGATTCAAAACTGCTCAATTACTTGAAGTGTCATATTACGTAACGGTATCTGTAAAGCTTTAATTATACAAAGAATGTAAAAAAGAAGAATAAATAAAAGAATAAAGAAAGAAATCTATAAAAGAATATTAAAAAGTATTTTTAAAAAGAATTTTTCTCTCACTCAGGAACCGTAAGAATATTTTCTTAATACATACGACAGATCATATAAATCACTGTTTCTGAAAAGAAAAAAAAAGCAAATTTTTTTGGTTGTCAGCATTTTGATTAAATGCACACTGAAATTGTAAGTGAATTGGTTGATAGGAGAAATTGCAGTTCAGAGATATATTAAAGGGATAGATGTTGCATAATTATAACTCATAGAACAAATATCGGTCAACCGTTTCAGGAAGAAAACTGCTAAAATTAATTTGTTCGTTATAATGTCAGGAATTACGTGTAAAGATCTAGGGGAGTAAAGATGAACATCTAGGGTTGTAAAGATGAACAATTCGAGAGGTTATTCTGAAGTCCCATTTTTGATTGCTAAAACTGCTAGTCTTCATTTTTAAAAATATTTTTCTGCTACTGAATGTATGTCTGCTTTGCAGTTAAACCCATTTATCTCTATCCAAACAAAAGTAATCAAGAGAAAAATATTGCACAATATTAAGCATTCCGTATACATATCCTTGTATACCGTTTTGTTAACACTTTATCCATTATACACACGCAACAGACTGATTATTTGTGTGGGATTGTCTAAGATACTTCCCCGGTATTTTTAATGAGAATAAACGTTTGTAAAGGTATAAAACCGTACATACGTATGTGTATACTGCATTAGATTAGCAATGTGAATCAAGCTACAAATATAACGCTATTCATAACTGTATTTTGTTTGGGCATGTAAATTAAATATTTAACATATCAATGGTTTAGCAATTTATAAACATTTATCGTATTTCCGCGTGTGTAAGTGGATTTTCAAGTTTCATACTCCAAATACAACTTAATAACTGTACAAATTGTTCTTTTTAATATTTATTGGTTAATTAAGGAAGGTTAACCTCTTAACAATCACTCATAAACTGCAGAATCATTAGGTTTTAGTGAGTAAGAAAGGTGAAAAGTCAACCATGCTCTTGCCGGGAATGGAACTCAACAGCTTCATGTTGCTAACTGAATGCAATTACTATTACTATTGCACCATAACGGCAGTTATTAGAAATTCCAAAATTAAAGTAGTGAGGAATAATAATTCACCACATTTTAGTTCAAACATTAGTATAGAGTCATTAGCCATTTTGTCTGCAATAATCTTGAAAAAAATCAGCCATACCCTTGTGGAGAACCCAAATCTAGAGTTTCCAATTGCTGAATGAATGAATATGATAGGCACTATATATAGTAATAACTGTAATAGTTAGTGGAACATGTAAACAGTTCACATGATCGAAAACCCTGCTGCGTAGATGACTGGGCATTATGGCGTAATTGATGATCGGAATGGAATTTTAGAAGCACGAACAGCTTGATAGTTAAACATCATTTATTCTAGAATGACGAATTTGTTAATACATAACTGTCGAAGACTAAGAGTTCTAAACGTGCCCCATAATTTTAAATATGCAATTACATTTTAATTAATGGCGAATAGCTAGCACAGGCGGAGTGACAAGCTATCAGCACGCAGGCAAAGAGGCGAAAGAGAGGGAGACTACACAATTATTAGCTATTTACACAAGATAGGTGCACAAAGTACAGCTAATCTATGCTTGGTTAGTATTAGTTTTATTTGCCCCTTTTCAAGTAGCGTTACATAACACAGAATATTCTCAAATTTGGGAGAACAGATGAATTTAGGGGGAGATCATCAAATTTAAAATATTAATTTTGAGGTCGCCAATTATTTTCTTTAAAGCAGCTATCGTATTTTGTTATATCTTAAATATATATGTATCATGATTCCGGAACATAGAAGAGGAATTAGCTTCCAGTCGTCGTAGCTGAGTGTGAAGGCTTACAGATGAAGATAACCAGACATAAACTTGAAGAATTTCCAATCTTTACTTTCACACATATAAAATCATCTCCGTAGATGTTTATTCAATCATAATGAAATCTGATACATTTCTATAATTGAATCATAATGGAATATGATAAATTGCTATTTACATTGATTTTTAAAATTAAAACGCAGGCACTTTAGACGGAGAAGCAAAGCGAGGAGATATTAACAAGGTGGGAGCTAGCAGAAGAAGTGACGTAATTAACTGCCAGGGTTTTTTTATACCAGAGTAGGTGCGATTCTAAGAGATAAGCTATGATTGGTTAGTTATTAGTTTTGGTTACTCGTTTCAAGCAGCGTTACGTAATCTCAAAAGATCTCGAATTTGGGAGAACAAATGAATTTAGGGCGAGATCACCAAATCTAAAATGTTAACTTTGAGGTCGCCAATTATTTTTTAAAGCAGGTATCATATTTTATTATATCTTAAATATATACAACAAAAGGACATGAAAGGAATAAACAGAGAAAACAGCTTGCTAAACAGCGGAAAATTACAAGCTTGAAAGAAAAGTGTACATGTATTTTGCTTCTAATTTTTCTTTATGTCTGTGTTTCGCAATATAGTGGAGTAACACACATTTTTACCTCTGTGTTTTATATATATACAAGATTTTGCTTAGTCTTGCCCAGTACGATTTATAAGCAGTACTTGGCTCTTGAGATTTTGGCGACAAGAAGAAATTTCCTTCTAAAGCCTCCATAGCAATTGGTTTATCAGTTGAGACCAATACTATCACGTACGTCAGTACTGTCATCATTAAAACTTTCTGAATTCTTAAAAAAAATGTCCCAATATAGAGCATAGATCCTTATCAGCTCTTCGATCTCAGCGCTGTAATCATTGTTTGAAGAACCCCTCCAAGGAACACGATTTAAACAGGATTATTTATTTTCATTTTGAGTTATTTCTTTTCTATAGAAAAAGAATTCAGAATATTTTAGTCAAAACATAATTGACAGACCAATGCTCACTAATAGCCTCGTGCAAATGAAATTCGAGCAATTATACCTGTTAAGGAAAATGACGAGTGGGAAACTTTAACTATTTTTAACTATTTTTTTAAATAAACACTAACGAATATTAGATATTCGACAAATAATGCGTTAAATAGAGTGTTTGAATTCTGAATAAATAAAATAAAATGTTGATTTTAATGTTTTATTTGCATTATTGTCTTTACAGTCTTGTTTATGAAAAGAGCAACGCATTTTGGATTGGAGCCAATGATATGAGGTACGAGAACTGCTATGAGTGGACTGACGGTCAAGCCTTTGACTTCTACTGTAAGTGCTAAAAGTGTTTTATTTGAAAACACTATCTTGCAAAGTTTACTTTTGCAGCCGTAAATGCATTTTTTAATATTTATGTTTTTAATCTGTTTTAATATAGAAGTTTTGAGTTACGATGCAAGAAACTAAAACATTAGTATGGAGTTTTAAAGCTATTTTATGAATTTGCAAGATGATTTAACATCATGTTTGAAGAAAGTTAATATTTCAAATCAATCGTATTTATTTATTTTTAGTTTCAGAATCCAGTATTTGTCCCTTAAAACATAAATCATACTATACTAATTTATAATTGTTTTGCATCAGTCTTAGATCTGCCATTAAATTATGTCTATTCTCTTCGGCACTGAATGAGTCTTTTATACTATGTGACTTAAAGTTTTATTAGAGAATTAAATTTTCCCTTTGTTCCCTCTTTTCTTCATAAGAAAGGAAAAATTAATTAATTACTTAAGGATAAAAATAAAATCTAAAGTTAATAATTAATGTATAATATGACAATAGGAACTGTGGTCTAGATGAATGTAAACGTTTTAATATGAATTTCAAGAAATTTTTTCTCTGCGCTCAATGTTTGCTCTTTGCGTTTACTACTGAATTAAAAAAAATTCCAAATTTGGTTTATGAGTCTGAAGTACATTGCATAGCCCAAAGTCATCGCATGCTGGATTTCAGAATTTTTCGTAATGTCTAGAGAAATGCTTCAAAAGTTGTTCTGCAACTGCTTCAGATTAATGTAAATAATATGAGTGAACTCATTCTCTGCAGTACAAATTCATTCAAAAGTGCATGTAGGAGGCCAATAACTAAACGATTAAGGGAAAACACTTTTGGTCTTGCTGTATCATAGAAAACAGGAAATTATCTGTATCGTTCACAAACTATTTTACATAGCAAGTGCAAAGCTCATAGGCACTATGGGAAAACTCTTGTATTAATGACGTTTTCCTTTTATAAGGTTTGTTTTAAAATTGTTATTTTTCCCCATGCTTTGCATATAAAATGAGAATTTTCAATCAGCTTACGAAACGTGAGAAAACGTGAAACGTTTAAAAACTTTAGAAAGTTCAAGAGAAGTATTAAATTGATGTTTAAAATAAAAACAATGTATATTTGATGAGATATGAGGATTTAAAGAAAACTATTTTTTAACTGCGAATGAATGAAATGCATCAATAACTTTGATAACATATCCTCCATAAATGTCCAGAATTGCGTTGGGAGAAGGTATGAACCTAACAAACAATCGTCCACAATTACTGTTTGTTTGTATTTATTTGATTACTAGAAAGCAATTCGAAGGCTATCCGCCTAAGGGAGGGATGCCTTCGTGGAGGACATGCTAGAGGGAACTGCCTCGTATGCACGTTACACATGGGAAAAATCCATGAAAACGATGGATGTTCACATTTCACAAAGTAATTGATAGTATTACAATTACAGTAGTTACTAACATATATCTCGAGTAACTTAGGGATATCCATGTGATTCACACAAAAAATGGATGCGTGAAGTGAACAGATTTGGAGACAAAGGTGGAAAACTGGAGTCTCGACTTATTGACGGCATCTGTAAACCAAACTATATTTTCCAAAATAGAAGTATAACCTACAGCTCAATTTTGCCAGTATTATGCTTTTATAACTAAGCTGTTCAGAAAATGTAACATATTAAAGATAATGAAGAGACAGCAACTAATGTTTCTTTGAATTCATGTATCTGAACTAACTTCGCGAACCGCAGTTTAAGAAACACTGTTTCAGATTACAATGAAAAACTGATTAAGATTCCGCTGTAAGTATGTATTTGCACGTATTGTGCTTTCAAAAACTCATGAGAATGCTTTTAATTCATCTTTTCTTTCAGTTAAATGTAGTTAACAGACATTTAGAAACGAAACAGATATATTAGTCCTTGTGACGGCATGCAA